CGGGCGGCCGAGAGCGACCTGTCCACCGCCAGGCCCGCGCCGCCGGAGCCCCGCGGAGCCGCCGCCGGGGACGGAGCCCAGGTGAGAGCGCCGCCGCCGCTGCGCCCCGAGGTCTTCGGGCCCTTTGTTCGGCCGAGCCGGAGCGCGGCGGCCCCGAGCGACCCGCGTGCGACGCCGGCCGGGGCTTGACGGGCGGGAGGAGAGGCGCGGGCAGCGAGCGCCGGGCCGGGCGAGCGGCGTGGGGATGATGGGGGACCCGGGGCTCGGACGCTGAGCCGTGCCTCCCGCGCCGGCTCTGTCCTTTTAAACTGCTGCGGAGGATGAGACCGGCTCTCCTTGCACGGTCCCCTGCAGCCCGTGCGTTTCCGAAGGGTGGCATACACCGATCCGCAGTGTGGCGTCGTTTGGCGAGCTGTTCGCGACCCCGAGGGCCCCCTGCAGTTGTGAGATGAGGTGGATCTGTGTGTAACGGTGTTGCAAACGGACTGCGGAGTGCTGCGGGCGAGGAAGACGCGCCGCCGCCGCCACTGCAGCCTCCCCGGCCGCATTAACACCTAAGGACACGCGAGCGCCCCGACGCCGCCTCTGCTCTTAGGGATGCTTGGTCAGCGCCTTCGCCAAGTAGGTGAAACGTAGCGAATGCGACCGTAGCAGTTAAAACCTGCAGATGTGGACCTGAAGCTGTCCCCTACCCCACCCCCCACCGCCCGCGCGTTGGCCGGGCGAGGAGACGGTTGGCGCGCGCGCTGCGCGTAGCTGGAGGAATCCTGATGAAGGATGGTGCTGGGATGCTGTGCGGGAGCCCGGGGAGGAGGAGCCGGCGGAGCCGGGCTGCACCTATGGCGTTCTGAGACATCTGACAGTGCGGGTGCCTCCGTGTGTAATTAGTTGAGTTGTCTCCAACCTTTGCCTCCACCAGATGAAAACCTCCATTTGAGTGGTCTGCTCCTTGCCTTCTCGGCGTGAAGCGTAGATTCAAAACTCAAAATGGTGCTCCGTTGATGGCCAGCTTGGGCATCTTCAGGGAATTGCACGTCGGGGTCTCCTGGCTGGTTTGCGCCGTTGTATTGCCCAGGTTCCGGGTGGTGGTTTTCTGGGTACCTGGTGTGCACGTTAGCCAGTATAGCTAGTACGTTCGTGACCACATCTCTGAATGGCCCCTGACTGTGTAGGCTGTTACTTTATGCACTTTCCTGTCTTTCTTTGGAGTAACTATGTGAATTAGTTGACACCCTGAAAATGTCACTCGAGTGACTTGAGAGGACAGTTTGAACTGTGTGGAGGTGCTGACAATTATATTTCTGGATTGCAGACTTCCTTCCTTACAAAGTGAGAGGCTGGGTTAGATAAGACATCCCAAGCCAGCTGAACTTGGCTGGCAGAGGGCACCTTGAAGAAAATTACATTTTTCCAGAACAGGAGAGGTGGACCTTGCTTTGGACGGTTCAGTTGTGGCACCCACTAAGATGCTTTTATTGAGAAAAATTATACAAAATGAGGCTTTTAAAATGTAGGATTCTGTTATACTGACAGAACTGATTTTATTGTTCATGGGGTGGATCTGAATAGCTGAGACTTTGTTTACTCATACTGAAAAGACTTTGCCCCACGATTTAATAAGGTATCAAAGCTTAGACCCTGAGAGTGGCAAAGGGTTAATCTTAATTCCACTTTGCATTCTTGGGGTTTAAATCTTTTGGTGGTGGTTGGGACTCTAGTAAATGCTGGTCCTCTTTATGGTTAGTGTTGTGTTGTCACAGTGGCAGATATAGTCCTTAGTAAAAGGACTTTGTAACAGGTTTATATTTATGCTTTTCAACTTGGCATTTTGGAATAAGTGGTTGAGTGCTGGTTATGCCGAAGTGAAGTGCATTGTTTCATTTGACACCATTGGCTAAGAAGTAGCCAAGTCATTTGGAGACTATTTGAAACTTTAAAGGACAGTGTTCCTCCTCATTGCTGCCACCTTTTTGTTAAGCAGTGGCCTTTAATGAAATAATTGTGTGCTCTTGTCACCCAGAACTAAGCCAGGTGACATTTTTGTCTGGTTGGGTTTGGATTCCTTTGACTAAAATTGCTTTGAGTCAGTCAGATAGGCTTTACCTTTTATTCTGGCTTTCTTTCAAAGGGTCTCGCTGTGTGTGGTAGGTGAGCAGGAGGAAAGTCTCTTGAGAGGTGAGCAGGTGATGAAGGCCTCTGTCAGGATAAGTGGCTTCAGTGAAGGGGTCTTAAAGATACTTACCATCTTAATCACCTTATTTGAAGACATCCTAGCTTTGAATAAGGAGAGAGGAGCATCATTGTGAACCATTGTCACCATTTAGAGGATAGAATTTTACAGAGTTATTACTTTCTTTAAGCCAGTTTGATTAGGCAAATTAAATTTTTACAAATTGGCTTTTAAATACTCGAGCTGTTGTGAGGAGAGTGTTTCTTATAAAATAATATACCTTTAAAAATAGACTTTAACACATAAATATATTCTCATTGATAAATTTTCAGGTTATACGTAGTTTTTCAGAAATACAATTACTTAAGAAATACCTATAACCTTACAGAGAACCCATGTAAGTGATGTGAAACAGGTAAATGCCCAGAGCGTGTTTGGTTTATTTTTCATCCTCCACTTCGACAGAACGATGTTTTGTGTTCAAAGTGCTGTGTAGCTCCATACACTTTGGGACATTTTTGGAATTGCACTGAAAGTGACTTCTTTCCTTGGCCTAAGAGGCTTTGAGAGGATGAAGAAGCTATGCAGGGAGGGAGGGCTGTTTGTTAATTTAAGAATGCATTCCTCCTGTGTAGCCCTCAAAACACTACAGAGCTGTGTGCAGAGCTAGACAATCTGGGCACCCAGCCATGAAACATCCCTGAGGCAGCTCCGACAGTGTGCACACTCTCCTGAGCCCGCCTTTCACAGCTGTACCACGCCAAAACAGCAGAAAAGCAGCCTTCTTGCTCATGTGAACTCTGTGGCTCTCAGAGTCTCAGCTGTGATTCAGTTGTGATGAAGACTGGCTAAGAATGTGGCTTCTGGAATATATGCCAATGAATATAAATGCTTCTCTAGAAATTAGAATATGGAGTTGTTACCATCACTCCCCCGCCCCCCGCCGCCCACCCTTTTTGGGCTATTTGTTGTAACACATCTTTCCTATTACAAACATGAGATCACCTGGCCATGCGCAGCAGTCACAAGGCTGAGGAGTCCTTTGGGAGACTCTTCCCCGGGGCACAGGCTGGGTTGGTCTGATGGGCTTTACTTTCCATTTTGCTTCTTCATAAACCTTTCTGC